TATTATAGTATTTGATATACCAAAATCAAGACATTTGCGTTTAAACAGATTGCGCCCAATGCGCCGTCAATTTTATTAAACAGCTCCGCAGTCAACGGAATATGACGGCTAGAGTCTCCGCAGCTGAAAGGATAGGAGCTTGAGACTTGTTTCGAGTACAGAGAACCGGTGACCCTTTTTGCTTGTAACGAAGTCCTTGACAACGCATCTGCATTTTATTTTTAATCTAGGATAAATGTAGACATCTATGGATCACAGTACCCGCTTACCATCAGGTGGACTGTGCTTGTTTGGCATTCTTATTCGATAAAAGAATAACTGTCGTAGCAGTGATATTTGCGTACGTCTCGTGACGCAAACTGAATGTCGATTAAACAAACACAGTTATTATTCCTTGTAAACCTATATTAAGTCTAAGGATAATTTTTCAGAAATGTACCGGCCTGAATTGAAGTAGATTTCATAGTTAACTTTTCACGATATATTTTAAAGTATGCAACAATAGTACGAAAATCTGCATTATTGAACTACGTTTTGTTGTAAGACGTCAGATGAAGCTTCCATAAACTTTCATCATTTCATCACATATTTTCGTTGATATAAATAAGTATTACGAACCGGATTAATAAAAATCACTGACCTCTATATATACAAGTACGCTGGACTGGCTATACACCGTGACATGATGAAGCGATTTGATTTCCGCCATTTTGGCGCTGACAGCAGAAGTGCACGTCCACGGAACTAATAATAGGGATTAGACAGTGTACCAAATTATATCGATAAAATTCTATACCCTACCTATACCTAAATAGAATGGACTCTATGTATAGGACTCTACCCGTAACGTCCATTCTATTTATGTATCATATTAATGTAATGCCATTATCATTAATCATCATTAAAGCCCTTCACAAAGCACGGTCCTGAGCCACCTGCATCCGTCAATTTCCTGTATGTCTTACCAGGTTTTGACTCCATCTAGTGGGGGAAACGTCCTACACTTTACCTGCCGGTACGAGGCTGCCACTCGAGAACCTTTTTTTCCCCATCGGTATTCGGTTCTTCGAGCTATATGGCCGGTCAATTGCCACTTCAGCTTACTAATCCATTGGGCGATGTCGGTCACTCTGGTTCTGCTGCAGATATCCTCATTCCTAACTTTGAACCTCTGAGCATAACCCTTTTCATAGCTCGCTGAGTGACTTCGAGCTTCCTCATACGGCCAGCAGTGAAAGACCTCGTCTCAGGTCCATAGGTCATCACTGGCAACACGCACTGGTTGTACAATCGAGTTTTGAGGTATTCTGAGAGAAGATGTGTTGTAATAGGGATCGCTGCTTTTGAGTTGAATTCTAGTGAATTTGTCCCAAGTAAAAATACTCATCAACAACTAGTATTTGATGGACATGGACTTAACTGTTTTTTGTTTGTCCATGTTCATCTTGAGATCTATCCGTTGGGAGACGCTTGAGGTCATTGAACATAGTGCGTAGGTCCTCCAGCGATTCTGCAATAAGGGCTATATTGTCGACAAATCGAAGGTGAGTGACGTACACGCCACTGACGTTCATACCGTATCCTTTCCAGTCCAGCAGCTTGAAAACGTCTTCCAATGCAGCGGTAAAGTATTTCGGGGATATTACGTCATTACACATCTCTACAGTTGGGTTAGTTTTGTACTCTGGTTCTGTACTCGGATACATGTCTTAGACCATTCAACTAAAAAATAATTAAGATTAAACTAATTACACAAAATAAAAATAAAAACATAATTTCTAAAATAATTTATTGTCAACCGTTCATTTAGTACTAGTATTATAAAAAACAAATCAGCTGTTATAATAACGCCTATTCTAATCAACTACAGGTCGAAATAATAATCTAATACTTTTATACTTACTGGTACTGGTACTACCATAAAATATTGTACTTTTATACTACACTTTTTCAAAGTGGTGCCGTTCTCATATCTAACAAAACAGTCGTCTGTGAAATGTTTGGAAGAAATATGATCATTTTGTTTTGGACGCCAATTCACAATATTTATGCTTTTAAGTCATAATTTTAATCTAGGTTCACTTGGAAACCTGCTAATTAATAAACATTTGATAATCGTCTATTGTTGGCGACTTTGTTTGTCAGATATGGGTAGGAAAGAACATCGATAAGTATTATAGACAAGGAACTCGACAACCCTATTGAAATTTATTGTTTATCAAAACTCAGTAATATACAGCCAAAGATGTTGGTATATATGATATTAAGATTAGTAACAAATTTTTAAGTACTTATATTATCAAATAGTTTCAATTTGTTTAATATTTGCTGCAAATTCACTTACTTGTGAAATGTTATACCACTTCCTTTTTGGTAAAGAGTTTTACAGATTACGCACACTCTCATTATTAATAAAAATAATTCTTATTATGTAACTAATATGAAACACAATGAAACAACATAAAATACTTTCGTTTTTTAGTTTAAAAGTTCAAATACAGATTTATTAAATAAGACAATTTAAATATGACAACAGACTTTGGCATATTATGTCAATTTTGTTTTTCAAGACATCCTTTAGCGGCGCTTCAAATTGGCACAGTCATTTTCTATGGTATAGCTAGTCCAGCGTACTTGTATATAAAGAGGTCAGTGATAAAAATCCTTAATTTTACTAAGTCATAGACTAAACAAATTTATCGACAACATTTTTCGTTTCGCTAATGGCATCGCAATAGAGGTGTCAATGGAATGGCAAAACGGCAACCACCTTGTAAAATAAAGAAAGTGAGAATAATATTATAGCTATCTTATTTTGTACTATGTTAAGCGTCATATTATGTATAAAGACTTCAGCTATAAGAATTTTGTTCCTAATTTAGGACTCTCTCTATGCTAGTAATTATACCCCTATTACACTACCCTGAATCAGGGTCCCTACGCCCTGATTCAGGGTGGTGTAATAATAGAAAGGGAGTAAGGATCCCTAATTAGGGCGTCAAAGTCTTTGACTAGAGAAGAAAGAAAGGACATGACATACCTACGAAAGAAACGTGTATACCTAAACTGAGCCTGGCACAAAAATGGCGGCTTGAAGTAGTGCTGCGCACTATACTTAATATCGATAATGTGGCGCTTATTTAGAAAAAAATTCTTTCGTGAGATTCGTCTCAAACACCCGTGTATTCTTAAATAGGTTTTTTTAAATCAATACGACGGATTTTTGACGCTAAATTATAAGTCCTTAATTTTTTTTACTCAACCTATCGATAGGGGTATTAAAATAAAAGAAATTAAAAGGAGATTACTGAAATATATTACAAGTTATACCTATGTTTTCAGTTCATTACGTTTAAGCAGTCATTTTTTTGTTTTTAAAATGTAATTATCTATTATTAATGTTACAATTATTTCCCGGGAATTACTAAACAAGGAATACTAAATAAAAACATTTTTGTTTGTTTGTTTGTTAGACAATAAATTAGGCTCAGTCATCATACTCACACTAATCAAACTATAATAAATGCAAAAGTTTGAATGTTTGTTTGTTCCTCAATCACGCCAAAAGTATCAGACTAGTTTGAATGTAATAATTTGGCACACAAATAGTTTATTATCTGAATTAACATATAGGATACTTTTTATCCCAATTTAGAGGTCCCGAGGAATAGAATAAGAAATTTCGTAATAATCGAATTCCACGAGAGAAACATATGAAAATAACACACTCACCTCACTAAAGTCGCAATGACAACTGATATAGTTGTCTTTGACTGCGACAAAACATGGCGCCCGGCCGCAGCGTTACCATATTCGGTAATGATAAAACTAATGTTGTCCTTTTTTATATACGAATATACTTATAAGCTAAAAAGAGACGCCGATATTTCATTACATTCCTACAACTAACGATCTTTATGTCATGTCCTTTCTTTTTTCTCTAGTCAAAGGTCAAAGTGCACCCGATCTACAGTGCCCTTGCCACCGTGCAGTGTAATAATACTAAGGGAGTTAGAGCTGTTATTCGATGCTCGACTAGGGATGAAAACGATACATCAATTCTTTCAAACATCAATATATCGTTCATAAACATGGTTCTTCATGAGCGATGTTTTAAGAACGATGTTTTGGCTTACCGTCAAAGGTTACGAAATAACCAATTATTCGACAGTATAAACTTACGTATGTTAAAAGTTGCGAACGATGATTATTACGAATTTTATGTCGCCAAAAATAAATATTGGAAACAAAATATGTCAAAGTTAGATAAAGTCTAAATATTTTAAGTGAAGTCTAAATATTTAAAGTGAGCTCAATTGGCGGTCAGCCGCCGTAAAGTCTACATCGTATCGGATTATCGTCGATGGTGTGTATTTCCTGGAATAGTGGTGTTGGAAGTAGTGGTGCCGGGAGTAGTGGTGTTGGGAGTAGTGGTGCTGGGACTAGTGGTGCTGGGACTAGTAGTGACGGAATTAGTGCACGCAATTGAGGGAGGGCGGGAGGTGCTCTTCAATCTAGGTAAGCCACATCATTGTATTTAGTTAGCGGAAGGTTGCAAATTAATCAATATCTTTATTATAATGGATAATTAATTTATTTATTAATTACTTATAATTAATATTATAAGTAATTATACCCGTACTACACTACCCTGATTCAGGGTAGTGTAATAGGGGTATTAGGGTAGTGTAATCGGGACATGGTACTCTTAGATAAAATCCGAAAAGCATAGACCACTTATAAGTTTGTGGCATAGACAAACATAAAGCAAAAGCATCTTCGTTTCTCTATCCGATCTGAGTCTGTGGTGTGGCATCTTCCATAGATAAGAGTGGCATCTTCACAAAAAAAAGAAAGAATGAAAGAAGTGCTCAGAAGTGCTGTCCGTGGCTGTCCGTCTGTAAAGTGAATTAATTCTGAAGATAATTGTTTAAGTATTTAAAATAGAAGATATCTTCAATTTATAAACATTATTAAAGCGTGCTTCATATTCTTGAAGAATGGTGCGTAATACTTCAAATATGTTTGGTCATTTTATTAGCGTCGAAAATGGCGGTAATATTAAGGTTATGTTAAAATTTTCAGTCGCATACTATCTTACTAGTCCAACCTGGTCCTAGACCGGAAACCAGGACATACTCAGATTACGAAAGCGTCAATGATTGTATGGAAGGAGTTTGTAAAATATATGAGGAGCATTTGAAGAGAAGAAACCCTAATACGCCGACTATCACCTACGACATTTCTCAGTTGTTTGATTTTGTTGATCAGGTAACTTTATTTCATTAGTAGCTAATATTTACAATTTATATTAATATAAGTATGTAATTTGTTAACCCTATGTATTCTTTTTTAACACAGCTGGCAGACTTAAGCTGTCTTGTTTACCAGAAATCCACAAACACCTATGCACCATACAACAAAGATTGGATTAAAGAGAAAATCTATGTTTTACTACGCCAGGCAGCTGGTCAGAGCGACTGAAATAGGTCTTAGTTTTAAGATTTTCTTTAAATAAATTGTTGCTTTATTATGGTGTGAACACCTCGGTGTAAATCAAATGATTGATTTATATACCACCTATATAACAGGATTGATTCAAATTATCAAAAAATAAACTGCTACAAAGTTATGTACTCGTTGAAGTTTTTTTTTCTATAATAATAAAGAATTGAAAATTGTAGCATCTAATATACCTTGACAATATCATAAGCTGAGACATCATTTAAATATCAAATAAATAAAGTAGGCATATAATTATTTGGGAACGCTATCATTACTATGCGTGTGATTAATGCTCACCATATTAAAAAATTATGTACAATATTTTAATTCTCATTCAAAAAAATTAATATAAATGGCTGTCCTTTTATTGTGATGGTAATATGAGCTATATTTAATACAGTACAGTAAACACTAGAATACTTTTGTTTAAAAAACATACAATACTAATTCTTACCTATAATGTTTACTATTAAAAGTTTTAAAACAAACTCACTGTTATTTATAAACGGGCCTCTCACTTAAACTGTAAATTCAATGCCTCAAATACATTAATTTACCTAAGCCTCTAGGTGTTAAAGAAGTCATAAACTGCTTCCTTAATCAAGTGCTACTACTATTATACTACTACTACTATATATTCATTTTATATTCGCTGAAAATATGTCCACTAAGTTTAATTGCTCAGCAAGCAAAAGTCAGGTGCTAAATCATAATTTTATAGAATATTTGCTACATCAAAGAGTAACATACCAAGTGTATTTAATTATAAAAGAACTGCACATATTTGTCTGTCTTATATCACCGGTTTTACATGTTTTGCATATTTGATATTTGAAGTACTAGAATATGCAATGTTATAAATAACATCAATTTATTGAATACATTATAAAAATACAAGTCTTATTAAATTTTTTGTCGAGTAATGTTGTGGATGTATGCTTGCCGAATTGTAATTAGTATTTAAAATTCCCATCTGCTGAAGTTTTTACCATAATTGCAACATTACCACTCTCAGAAATTAACTTAAGTCCTCATTTGGGTGACTTCTGAGCATTTTGACAATCTATATTAGGGCCAGAAGAGTGTGAGCAGCTGGCAGTGTTTAGAAAGACATTCTGTGCAAGTTGATTTCTTGTAGTGTTTATATTACAGTTACCAAAAATTATAAGGACATTTAAAATATCCCTTACAATTATTTCATGGTACAGGTATATGTAAAAACCATTTCAATATAAATATTAATTTTTAAGGTAACTTTCAAGTAGTTTCATTTTAGGTAATAACTTTAAATTTAGTCTTTAAACACACTTCATTCAGCGGTAGAAATATTGAATGCCTTATCTAAATGGTAGTAAATTTTAAAGATAAAAAATTAAATTTTTGTATCGCATAAGCTACGAGTGAATAATTTTCTTTATTATATATAGTATATATGTGGGTATCTCCATGTGGTGGTATCATCTTTTCTATGATTAATTTGAGTAGCGGACTTTCAGTTCCATCGGTGGTGTTGTTTAATAAAGTTGTTTTTTTAACTTTTTTTTAACTATTTTTAAATGTTTTTCTTTGTTCGATGGAAGTGCATTTCCATTCACTCTGTTGCCTTCAAAATTTTCTGTTATTTTCACTTCATCATCCGTGATTCCTTCCATTTTATGTCTTATCACCAATTTAGGTTCAGGTTCCATATTAACTTTAGTTTCTAGACATTTTTGAACATCTAAAGCACATTCTCTAGTGCATTCATCAATAAGTTGGTTTGCAGACTTTTCATCAAATTTAATAATCGATTTCGTGCTGTTTTGTAATCTTTTAATATTAGCCTTTTCTTTTATTTTATTACGATTTAATGTTCTTGGTTTAAAATCTTCGTCCTCACTATCGCAGGAAAATTAATTGAAACGTCATAATATACTTAATCAACCAAAATTATTTTTTATTGCTTTTATTATTTTTTAGTTTATCAGACACATCCATTTTCTTTGGTTTGGTGACAGAACAAATTTTTTGGATTTCCTGTTTTGCAATTTATGTTTATTCTCTATTTCTTTAAATCACGTTATTTTAGATTTTTTATTAGAAACAGCTTAGCAAATTGAAGAAAATTAAGACGTGGACTGAGCTGACTGACTGACCATAAACCACCAATACCACCTGACCACGCCCGAGCTCGGGCGTGTTCAGTCGGTAGCGGTGGGTGACACATGGTGGTATTAGCGTCTGTTTGAGTATTTGGTTATAATATTTCCGGAATATCTGGACCGTGGATCCCTATCAGTCGGTCAGCTCAGTCCACATCTACATTTTCTTCAATTTGCCAAGCTGTCTCTAATAAAAAATCTAAAATAACGTGATTTAAAGAAATAGACAATAAACGGATAGAATATAAACATAAATTGCAAAACAGGAAATCCAAAAAAATTGTTCTGTCACCAAACCAAAAAAATGGATGATGCGTCTGATAAACTAAAAAATAAAAAAAATTTTGGTTGATAAAGTATATTATGACATTTCAATTTATAGTTTTCCTAGCGATATTGAGGACGAAGATTTTAAACCAAGAACATTAAAACGTAATAAAATAAAATAAAAGGCTACTGTTAAAAGATTACAAGACAGCCCGAAATCGATTATTAAATTTGATGAAAAGTCTGCAAACCAACTTATTGATGAATGCACTAGAGAATGTGCTTTAGATGTTCAAAAATGTCTAGAAACTAAAGTTAATGTGGAACCTGAACCTAAATTGGCGATAGAACATAAAATGGAAGGAATCACGGATGATGAAGTAAAAATAACAGAAAATTTTGTAGGCAACAGAGTCAACGGAAATGCACTTCCATCGAACAAAGAAAAACATTTTTTTCACTTCTCCTACTTTAACTGATTAATAACTGGATTATTAGAAAAGAAAAAAATTATATATATATATATATATATATAAATTAACTTCTATCACAAAAATATACTATTTTTCTCAAATTTATGTGAATATATTAAAAATATAATATTGCAGTGACTTCCTAAATGAGGTTACAATTATATATCCACAAAAAGTGGGAGGTATTGGTACTTTCCTGTCAATGTCATACAAGGTATTGTTTGAAAGCAATGTTTCTTGGACAAAGAAAGCAGCCACAAGTGTAAATTTGGAAATAGCTGAGTTAGATTTACTTTTCTGGGTTATATAATTTAATAGAGAATGCTATTATTCATCTATGTTTATTTACATTTAATAGCAAGTAATACGATAATAAAGATCCATTAGTAGGGAATATTAAATACCTATGCATATTTTTTTATATGCTAGTGATTTTGTAAGAGGTATTAAATCATACTTAATCTTAAGTATGTATAGAAATGGTAGAAGACTCCTACTTAAACCTGGGCCTCATCAAAAGAAATATTTAAAAATAGTTTAACTCCCAATTTGACATTCAACTATTTAGTTTTGGTGTACTTGTGAAAAGGCTTAAATTATGTTTTTTTTTTTAAAATATTTTTTCTAAAGGAGTCTTTAACCATGTCCGTCTGGTCTTGTACTAAAAAAACCTATATCTAGCAAAGCAAAGGTGTATGTTTTAATTGTATATATAATATATTAGAGGTGTCATTGTCAATCTGCTACCTACTAATTAAAAAAAGTAGATAAGATAATATAAGTTTTGTTATTGTATGTGTGTGTGTGGGGGCAATCAACGAATTGGTAAAACTTTTGATAAGTATAGTAATATTGAATTTGAATTTTGTAGTACCTTGGCACTTTTTAAATCATATGGTAGTCAAGTAGCTATAAAAAGTTTTCACCACAAAAATCACCTAGCATGCGTTAATTAACTTTTTAAGTGCATCTAAAAATAGTATTAAGATCAAATAAAATATCATATTTTTCTAGATTTTTCACTTTCTGGAGCAAAGTAATTCGTTTTTTGCAAAAGTGTAAAGTTCAAAAATACCTTTTTGGAAAAGGTATATTGCTAAGTTATATTGTAATTCTGTGATTGCATAAAGCAATAAGATATTATAATTAAGTCTTTACTTGCAATTTTTTTTCTTTTATGAGTCATGTTTGTCTTTGATTATTGATAGCACAGATTGATGTGTGATAATTTTGTTACTCAATTTTGTTAACTTTAATAACATAAGTATAATTAATATAAGACATTTTGTGACAATTGATTTTTTTTTTATTTTCGCTAGGTGTATAAGTTAGATGATCTGCGATAGTAATTCACTTTTTTAATCCTGTATTTGACCAGAAAATGTAGGCCGCGATTTAGATTTTTACAGGGACTCACATTAGAGCCTGTAGCCCATTGAATATATTTTTTTGGCTTTAGCAGCAATCTTATCTTTAATTGTTTAATGATAATGTTATAACCAGAGGCAGTACCACAAGCTAATTAGAAATACTAGGTGTTCTATGGCATAATCAGCCGGTCGATTCGAATTGTTTACTGAGTACCTCAAGAAATAAAATATTTAAATTACTGAGAATACCTAAGCTTTAGTTAGTTGAAATCTTATAAAGTTTAAACGCTATCACTGCCAACATTATTATTATTAGCAACAACATTAAGGTCTATATCTTGCAGCAACAGGTCGCTGTTGCCCATCTACTTCATGTGAACTAAATATTTTTTTTTGTATAGCCTAATTTGAGACTCGTCGCATCATAAGGACACACTTTCAGAAGGTGACATGTGTTTGATCATAGCTGTTAAAATATCGCACATTTATTGGTTAACTTTAGCTTCCTTAAGCATGCACATGTTACCTAAAGTTGATTTTTGCGCAAACTGTCTTAGACAAAAACCATAAGTAAGTGAGTTTATGTAGGTAATACAAAACAATTTAAATTATCTTGTGTATTTAGTAAGGTTTTAAATAAAAAAAAAATGTTTCATAAGGAGTATTCTACTACTAAAAAGTACGTGATTAATAATAACCCCTGGTAATGAGATGATCGCTACCAGGCT